TCCCCCATTCACTCATTTACTCACTCATTCCTTCATCCATCCACTCACTCCCTCATCCATCTATTCTCCCATTCATCTATTCACTCACTCACTTATCCCTCCATCCATTTATTTACTCATTCATTTTTCTATTCATTCACTCTCTCATTCCCTCATCCTTCCATTCTCTCACCTTTTCATTCACTCATCCATCCATTCATCCATCCATCCATCATTCACTATTGATGTCATACTGGCTTCAGCGTTTCCTGTTTCATTCATGGGATCAAACTTATAAATCCCATAGTTTCTGGTGTTAAAATTGCCCGAGGTTTCTGCAGAGGGAGTCCCTGTAAGGGCCCCCTGGATTCCTGTGTCCCATGTCCCTTATTCCATGGGCCTTTCCGTAATTTCCGGCACAGTGGGATGTTCCAGGCACATCCAGGGCCACCCCTACCCCGTCCAGGACTAGGCATTGCTCAGGACAGCCTGGGCTGCCTCTGCAGATAACAGTGTTTGGAAAGAACCTTAATGGGCTGGGCGTGAGCACTGCACCGGGGTCTCAGGGGTGAAGTAGGAATTGTACCCCACGCTCTCTACACACATGTGCGTGAGAGGTCAGAATCGCCAGATGGTCCCGTCCTCATAGGAGGACCAAAGTGCAGGGAGCGCCAGCCCCTCCCAGAGGCCCATTCCTTCCAAAGCCACGTGTTCCACAGCCACGTGCACCATAGCAGTGGGCACTGCTGCTGCAGGCACTGAGCTGGAGGCACCCCCGCTCTGACCCCCATTTCCCCTCGCCTTCCTATCCCCTCTGCCACCCCTTCCCACCCCCCGACCCCACCCACATGCCTGGGCTCCTCGCAGAGGCTCTGAGCTGCTCTCCAGGGACCACCTCCCGGGCGCCCAGGGGCCACCTGTGTGTGGGTGGAGCGGGTCCCTGTGGGGTGGGGGCTGCTGGGGACTGTTGGGAGCTGCTGCCTCTGGCCGCCGGGCTGTGCTCAGAGTTGACACCATGTTGGCAGCTCCGCTTCACTGTGACCGTGGGCAGGATGAAGAGGTGCCCCCACCCCCTCCAGACCTACCCCACCGACAAGGAGTGGGGACCCTCGTCCCCATGGGGTCGGGCACTAGTCCAGGCGCCCTGGAGCTGATGGTGACTCGGCTGCCAACCTCGCACCCTCTGACCCGGGAGGAGGCCCTGTGCCCGCCGAGGGGACAGGACAGGTGGCCTTGGTCGTGAACGGGTTGTTATAATAATGTTATCGTCATAAGGCACCCCTCTAATGTGTGGAGATAATTATTGTGTGAAATGTAGCTGTGTGGGGACCCCAATACTCTAACGACCAAAATGTGGTGAACGCCCCACTATCTTGATGTGAATGCCGAAGCGATGAAGGTGTGAACACCCTGCTCCTAGCACAGGCCTCCCTCTGGCGCACAGCGATAAGACACAAGGTGTTTACTCCCGGCCGTAGAAGCACCGGCCGTCCTCAGTGGCCGTCTCCTGCCCGAGGAGAGGCGGACTCCACGTCACTCCCTGAGTCCAGTCCCTGACTGACTGCCCTGCTGTGCGAGCCTGACCCAGCCGCGGCCGCCTGTCCGTCTCCGTCTTCGTCGTCCGTCTCTCGGTGTGAACCACCGGGTGGCCTTTGCCGGAGCCTAGGACCCACTAGGAACAGGTAAATAAACCCTGTGTGACTGCATACTAATTGTGTGTTCATGTGTTCCGGCTCGGCTCAGCTGTCTAGACACTGAAATACCAGGGCACAGGCCGTTACTGCTGACCCCTGGTCACCTGCGTATGTCGCACCGAGTCTAGACAGATAATTAATTAATTGGGGCACATTAGGGACACGGGTGGGACCATGTGAGGCCCTTGGGGCTCAGGCACAGGGAGAGGGAAGAGGGGTGCTGGGCTGTGAGCCCCGCCTGTGGAAATCAGGACCCGTCCCCACGCTCCGTCCCGGACCAGCAGCCCTTGTCCGAGGAGCCTGCTGGTGGCCATGGAGGACGGAGCTGGGAGCCCGCAGTGCGGTCAGCGGGGCCCAGTGTCCCTGGGACGTCGGTGCTTCGAGGACTTCCCAGCGCCCAGGACAGGGGATCACATCACAGGCCTCTGAGGGCGGGCGGTGGTGGGGGTAACTCAGGGCGATTTAGCACCAACATGAGCAACAGGCAGAGCCCAGGGCATAAAGTGAGACCAATGAGGCCGCCGGGACTCACATGAATGGGGAGGGCGCCTCCTCCAGGGCAGAGAGGGAACTGCATGGCCCTGGGCCTCCCACCCCCACGGCTCAGGCGGGGTCACCAGTGGGTGAGACTCACCAGAAACAGGATCTGAGCTGCTCTCATCGCAAACTGTTCCCCCAACAATAAGCTTTTTAGGTGACGCCTCAGAGTGTGCGACTCACTCTCAGATCACAGTCTCTCATCCAACCGCACACATCGCGGCAGAATTGATCAGCACAGAATTTATAGCTTTTACTGCACAGCCACTGAGACGGTCCCCAGGCCTCTGGCAGTGAGAGGAGATCTTGGGGATGAAATGCTCAGAGCGGAAGTCAAGGTCAAAGCCTCAGCTTCCTGTGTATTCAGAGTGTGAAACCCGCTTTGGGAGGCAGTTTTGCAGCAACCATCTGCTATGAAAACTGCTGTTTGAAATTTTAACTCTCCTGGGCTGCATATCTGGCGCTTTGGCCAGGCGGGGCACACTGTCCTAGAACACGCAGATAGGAAGGTGCTGACATCAGGCCAGGCCCTGAGATATGGTCTCACGGCCCCTTCCCAGCACACAGACCTTCTTTCTCAGAAGGCCGGGAAGTCTCATTCCAAATTTGGGAGACAAAGGACTGGAAAAAGTATAAATAAAGAGAGTGTCCTCCATACTGGGGGCCCAGAATTTGAAAGACACATTTGTCTCTGGGCCGCCACAGAGTTTAATAACACAATGTAACTCCTGTAGTCTGGGCTGCAGTTCAGCCTCCGCTTCGGCAGGGTGCTGTAACGGTAGTCGCTGGCCAGCTTAATAAAGGCTCCTAAATTTTGGTCCGAGTGCCTGGTGGTCGTCTCTGTGGGTCACCCCATTACATTGACCCTGCTATTTCCGGCTTCTGTAAGTGCTCGCTGGCTTAAATAATGAGGAAAATAAGACTACTCCCATTTCTGAGAGGCCATTAAACCTTCCCCAGATGAAGTTATTGGTGCTGGCACCAGGCCAAGCCTTTGGTTGGGGTCTCAAAGCCCCAGCACATAGGGCCCTTTGAGAACTTGCAAAGGGGACCGGAAAACCCCATATTGGGAGACAGAGAAGGTAAAACCGTATCAATATGGGAAACTTCGTGTGTGATTTCACCCAGAATTTGAGAGGCATTTTCCTCTGGGCCGAGGCGTAATAAGTGTAGCTCCATCTCTCTAAGCGTTGCTTGATTCTTCTCCGGTTTTTCTGTAACAGTTTGAGGCCTCCTGTGTGGGTGACAGTGGGTGACGGTGGGTGACTGTGGCTCCAGGATTCCCCGGTGCCAGGGCCCCACAGCGGTCCCCACGCAGACACCCCCACCCCCAACCCCATCCCCGTACAGAGCGGAGGCTACCGCCCCTGGTCCGTCCCCACGTGAGGCTGGCGGTGCTGTCTGTTCCCTGCGCTGAGCTCCCCTCCCAGCCCCCCTTCATTTCACAGGGGCATCTGTCTTTCTCTTCATTTTCTCTGTAAATCCTCACCCGAGGGTTTTCCCAGGGGTTTAGGGGGCGTGGGAGTGGCTTTTTTGGGGATTAGTGGCTGTTCTATTGGAGTTTTCTCCCCAGATAAATAGTTTCTTCCCCTCTTCTATTTCATGCTCTTTCTTTTCTCTCATACTTTTTTTCCTTTTCCCAATTTCATTTTTGCATTCCTTTTTTTTTCTGTTTCTCTTGTTCTTTCTTTCCTCTTTTATCTTTTTCTCTTCCTTCTTCCTTATCCCCTAATTCTCTTAATTCGGATGGTCACCTTTACTTTG